CACTATGAACTGGCGCGTCTTAGCCGGGGCGGCACTATGAGGCTGCGCGCTTGTAGCGGCGCACCATGAGCCTGCCAGCGCCCACACGCTGTAGTTTGCATTGTTCTGTGAATTCACATTGTTTTGTGTTGATTCACAAATCCATTTGCTTACGAGAGATCCACAAATTGAGCCGATCAAACCTTCCTCAGTTAGATCGTCTTATAAAACCCCACTGAGTCAAACCTTATATACAGTTAGGAACAACCAAAATCTCCTTTCGATCTTTTGCACGAAGGTCCACTTTTGATGAGTAAATCAAACCTTATGACAGTTAGATTATTCAAACCAAAGTCCGAGTATTCTCATAAGTAGGAGTCCCACTTGCATTTCTTTACTCAGAACGAGAGAATAATAAATTTTTCTCTCCGATTCTGGCGTTTACTCTACCAACAAATAGCCAGGAGATAGAATATAAAATTCTTCCTCTCCATCATCTGGGTTCATTCTTACCAACAAACAAGAGACCAGTAGGATAGGAATATAAAAACTCTTGCCTCTCCATCATCGGGTTCATCTCTACCAACAAACAGAACCAGGAGACAGAAATATAAATTCTTCTCTCCATTATCGGCGTTCATCTCTACACAAACAAGAGACCAGAATAACTCAATAGCGTATACGAGTCTAAACTATTTTCCCTATCTCATACAGCGAAGTTTCTGGAGCTATGTACTCAAACGTATCTTGAGAATAACCTGGTACGCCCAACGCGGTATATGAGTTAAACTATTTCCCGAACACTCCAATAAGCATAGGAGTATAAACTAACTATTCTCTATTCTTCAGACTCGGCAGTTCAAAAATTCAAGACTTCGACAACGCGATCCACGCCGATAAAACGCAGCACCGGAGGTAATTTTAGTATTCTTACAAGCGCCTGGAATAGTAGCTAAAAGATGAAGAAGTCAAGGATTGAAGCCATTCAAACCGTTCTACGCAATTTCCTCAACCACAGTACTAAAGAAATTGCAAGAAAAACTTATCATATCCAAGTGTCCCGACTCCTCTTCAAAATGATGAGTCTGGTGAATACTTTGGGGGGATTCTGTAGACGTCCAAAAAGTGCTTACAACATCCAAATTCACTCAAGACAAAGAGAAGGATGATAAACGATCAGTATCTAAGTCTATGGGGAGATCATATTACAGCCCAAAG